CTGGAGTAAAGGAGAATGAAGAACACCAAAGACACAAGGAAAGTATTAGCCCAAGAGACAGAAAGGGCCACATAAACCAGAGATTTCATCAGTCTGAGACCAGAAGAACCAGATGGTGCCTGGCTACCACCAATGACAGCCCTGACAGGGAACACAACAGAGAGTCCCGGATGGAGCAGGAGAAAGGTGAGGTGCAGAACTCAAATTCTAGTAAGAAGACCAGACTTAATGGTCTGACTGAGACTGGAGGACACCCGGAAAGCATGGCCCCTGGATTCTCTATCAGCCCAGAACTAAAACAATTTCTGAGGCCAACTCTTCAGACAAAGATTGGACTGGACTGTGGGACATAAAGTGATACTTGTGAGGAGTGTGCCTATTAGCTCAAGTAGATACAAGAGACTAAACGGGCAGCTTCTGTCCGGAGGTGAGATGGAAAGGCAGAGAGGGTTAGGAGCTGGTTGAACAGACATGGGGAATCAGGGGTGGAAAGGAGGAGTGTGCTGTCACAGTATGGGGAGAGCAATTGGGGTCACATAACCATGTATGTATAAATTTTCATATGGGAGGCTAACTTGAAATGTAAACTTCATTTAAACTACAACAGTAAAAAAAAAAAAACAGGAAAAAGGGGAAACAAGTTCAATGTCTATCAAGAGAAGAATGGATAACTCATGGTGTATTCATACAATGGAATACTATAAAACTGTGAAAGTAAATGAATCAGAATCTCATATATCAGCATGGGTTAATCTCAAAAAAATAATGGTGAGTGAAAAAAGAAAACTGCACAGGAATAAACAGTGCCTGGGTGGTGAAAATGGTTAATATTCTCAGCTGCTAATGAAAAGGTTGGAAATTTGAATCCACCCAGAGGCACATCAGAAGAAAGGCCTGGTAATCTACTTCTGAAAAATCAGTCACTGAAAACCCTACACAACACAGTTCTACTCTGACACACACGGGGTCACCATGACTCAGAGTTGACTCAATGGCAGCTTGTTTTGGGAGCCATGGTAGTTCAGTGGTAGAATTCTCACCTTCCACGTAGGAGACCTGGGCTTGATTCTTGGCCAATGCACCTCAAGCGCAGCCACTACCCATCTGTCAGTGGAGGCTTGCATGTTGCTATGATGCTGAATAGGTTTCAGCAGAGCGTCCAAACTAAGATAGGCTAGAAGGAAAGGCCTGGCAATCTACTTCTGAAAATTCAGCCAGTGAAAACCCTGTGATCACAAGGTCAAATCCCATTGTGCATGGAGTTGCCGTGAGTATGGTGTCAACTCAATGGCAGCTAACAACAACAATAACGTAATAACACTTATGTAAAGTTTTAAACCACACAAAGCAATATTTCATGTTAATGAAGGCTATATACATATGTAGTAAAAGTATAAAGAAAGGCATGGGAATGAGAAATGCTGATTTAGGGATAGTATTTACTTCTGAGAGGAAGAGGAGTTCTGAGAAAGTAGGGGAGGGCACAGTCACAGATACTTCCCAGTCATAACCAAACACCTCACGGGATTGGTTCACTGGGTTTGAAGGCTTAGGACCATAGTCTAATGGGACAACTTGGTAAATTGGCACGACATAGCCATAAAGTTTATGTTCTACATCCTAGTTTGGTAAGTAGCACCTGGGGTCTTAAAAGCCCCAGATAAAGATAAAACTATTGGTCTCTACTCATCCGGAGCAAAAGAGAAGGTAGAAACCAAAGACTCAAGGAAGGAAGTAGTCTACAGGACTAACTGGATACACGAACCTCATCTATCCCAATACCAGAAGAACTAGATGGTGCCCAGCTACTACTACTGACCGTTCTGACCAGGGACACAACAGATGGTTCCAGACAGAATGGGAGAAAATTATAGAACAAAACTCAAATCCTTAAAAAAAAAAAAGTCTAGACTTGCCGGACCAGTAGAGACTAGATAAATCCCTAAGACTATCATCCTGAGATACCTTTTAAACTTTGAACTCCCAGAGGTCAGCTTTCTGCTAAATAACAGACTGGCTCATAAAATAAAAAATATCTCCCATGAGTACTATGCTCCTTTAAAAAAAAAAAAGTACATATGAGACCATATGGTCAACATTTATCCTAAAGCAAAGATGAGACGGTGGGGGGCAGGAAGGGGGGGCGGCAGGGAAACTAGATTAAGGGAAAGCAAACAACCAGAATGGAAATAATGAGAATGTTGACACACTGTGGAAAATGTAACCAATGTCACTTAACAATATGTATAAGCAAAACCAAACCCATCGCCCCAGAGTCGGGTCTGATTCATAGCGACCCTATAGGACAGAGTAGAACTGGCCCCACAGGGTTTCCAAGGCTGTAATCTTTATGGAAGCCAACTGCCACATCTTTCTCCCGAGGAGTAGCTGGCGAGTTCAAACCGCCGACCTTCTGGTTAACAGGCAAGCGCTTAACCACTGCATAAACTTTCACCAAAAACACAATAATTTTTTTTTAAGTAGAGGATAGTGCATTTCAGGAAGAATCAAACAAACAAACCCATTGCTTCAATTCCAACTCATAGCAACCCTATAGGACAGAGTAAAACTGCCCCATAGGGTTTCCAAGGAGTAGCTGGTAGATTTGAACTGCTGATCTTTTGGTTAGCAGCCAAGCTCTTAACCACTGTACCACTGGGGCTCCACATTTCAGGAAGAGGCAGAAGTATATACAGGCCATCCCCAGGTTATGACTGTCAGACAACTCCTACTTGCCTTTTAACGTTATATAAATTCGCCCTCACTTTGAAAAAATTGAACCAACACCTAGTCGCAACAAATTCTTCATGACAATCACCTTCACCTGCTGCACATGCAGCTTTTAAATCGTTGTAAATGCCTTAGGCCTTTTCTTGCCCTAAAAAAAAAAAAAAAAAACCAAGCCTATTGCAACCAAGTGGATTCCAACTCACAGTGACCCTATAGGACAGGGAAGAACTGCCTCATGTTTCCAAGGAGCGCCTGGTAGATTTGAACTGAAGAGCTTTTGGCTAACAGCCATAGCTCTTTAGCCACTGTGCCACCAGGGCTCCTTCCTTGCACTGACCCAAAAACCAAACTAACTGCCATCGTGTCGATTCCGACTCATAGTGACCCCATAGGGTTTCCAAGGCGATAAATCTCTACGGAAGCCTACTGCCACATCTTTCTACTGCGGAGTGGCTGCTGGTTTTACTAACTGCTGACAATCGCTTAGCAGTCGATCCCTTTAACCAAGGCGCCACTAGGGCTCCTTTCTTGCTCTAAAGTAAAGCTAAATAAGAACCATATGCACATGGTCCGACTTACCCATAAATTCTTAAAGACACAGTTAGGAACAGATCTTGTTCCTAACCCGGGGACTGCCTGTACAATAAATTGAGTTTTGCAATAGCACAACTCATAATAAATATTTACAGGAATCAGTAAAGGTTTAATGTTGCCAATTCATAAGGTAAAGTAGGGTGGGGAAGTGAGGGTGGGGGAAGTGATGCAATCAGGGAGCTGGATATACAATATATGTATATATGTGTGTATGTATGTATGTGGTTTGACTTTTTCCAACAGGGAATGGGGAAGCATTAACAACTTCTAGATAGAACTCATTGGCAGCAATACGGAACGTAGATTGGAGCAGCTGAAGCCAGATGAAGAGAGATCAGTTAGGCAGCTATTGTCACGGTCTAGCCAGAGATGATGAAAACCTGAAATAAGACAATGTCAGTGTGACAGGAAAGGAGAGGATACCCAAGAGAAACACTTGCACAGTGTACCAGGAGACATATCTATCAACAGAAAAACGGGGGGAATATTGTACAGAAATGAAAATGAATAAATTACAGTCATGTGCAACTGCATGGAAAAATCCCAAAATGTTGCAGAATGCTGCATAGAGGAAGATATAAATCTTTAAAATTCATAAACAATCTAAATGTTTTAGTCATGCATGTATGTGATACGAATACGTATAAAAAGAGCAAGGAAGTGATAAACACAAATTATGATAGTGGTTTCCTTGGGAGATGGGAGATGAGATGGTGAGCTTTATACATAAATATTTATACGTGCGTATATGTGTACAACGGAGCCCTGGTGGCGCAAAGGTTAAGCTCTGCTGCTAACAAAAAGGTTGGTAGTTTGAACCCACCCAGCAGCTTTGCAGGAGAAAGATCTGCTCCGGTAAAGACTGCATGCTAGAAAACCCTATGGGGCAGTTCTACTGTCACATGGGGTTACTACGAGTAGAAATTGAGTCTAACGGCAGCCGACGACAACAACAAGATATGTATGTGTGTATGTATGTGTGTAGAAGTAGTTCGTTGTTATATATGTATATAGAAAGACAGAAAGAAGGAGCTGCGGTGGGGGGAGTCATTTATGGACCCATGATGACAACATATCATCACCAAGGATCACGCTTAACCTACTCTGTGTACTAACGGCCACAACGCAGAAAAGAAAGACAAGGCAGAAGATAACGTACTTTTGAGATATTTCGGAGGTGGAATCCCTACATTTCCAGATTCTCTTTTTCGCTCACTTGGTTTTAGATCCACTCCTGCAAGGAAAGCCACCTCCCTGCGAGCAGCCCACGTGCTTTTCCACGTCTCCTGCGGGAGTCGGCGCTGCGACAGCTGCTAGGAGCCAGCCGAGCCCCGAAAAAGGTGGAGGGCGGGGCTAAAGGGCCCGAGGAGAGGGAGGCGACCAACGCAAGCGCAGTAGGGCGCCTCGCCGCCATGGCATCGGCACCGCCCAGTCACCCGCTGGTAGTGGCGGCAACTTCCCCTCGGGAGGCACCGTCTCCGCCTCCTCCTTCGACCCCGCCTGCTCGGCGGCGGAGGCGGCGGCGGCGGTAGCGGTTGTTCCTGCCTCTCCGCCACCTCCACCCCGGCCTATCTTCCGGCTGGCGGCGTTGGCGGGGAGGGGGACAGTAGTTGTAGACGCCCGCCCCTGCCTCAGCGAAGGTGAGTTCCCGCCCGGCGGCGGGGGCTGCCCCGTCTCAGCCCCTCGACTCCGCGGCCCAGCCCGCCGGGCGCGCCCGAATGTGCGAAATGGCCGACCTGGGCCGGGCCGGAGAGCCTCCGCTCCCCTCCACGCCCCGGGAAAGGGGCGCCAGGGCTCCCGGCGGAGTGTGGAGGGACAGGGGACGCCTCCCCTCAGCGGGGAAGCTGAGGTGTGAGTTGGGGAGAGAGGCGACCAGGTGGAGTATGTGGGTCTGGAGTGTCAGGGAAACGGCAGGGGGACTGATGAGGAAGCGCGAAGATCCAGGGGACAGAGAGAGGAGAGAACCGGCCAAGACGTGGAACGGAGTAAACCTCCGCTTGGTGAAATTCAGCATTCTGGAAAATTAGAGACTTCCCGGTAGGATCCGTAGGAGAAGTGTAGTTAGGGATTTGGGGAGAGTAGGAAGTAGCACGAGGAGTCCTGGTGGCGCAGTGGTTAAGCGCCGGGCTGCTAACCGAAAGGTCGGCGGTTCGAACCTACCAGTGGCTCCCCGAGAGGAAGATGTGGCAGTCTGCTTCCCTGCTGTGGGGCAGTTCTCTGTCCTGTAGGGTCGCTGTGAGTCAGAATCAGCTCCACGGCAGCGGGTTTGGTAGGAAGTAGCTTGAAAGTTGCAGGGGCCTTCGGAGGAAGAGGCTTTGGGGAATCACTTCGGAGAATTTTCCGTGACTTTCGGAAGCTCTGGCCCTGTGAAACAAGCCTCTAAGTTGCATAGGCCCACATTACTAGTGGTCTGAGTTTTAATGTGAATCTACCAACACATTCCCCTAACATATCTTTTTCTTGACCATCTCTAAGGTGTTTGAGCTCTCCCAAAGTTACTACTAAATAGCTGCAAACAGCCTGCTATTTGCTAACCGAGAGCTGAGGCTTTAAAGCAGTTTGGGAAATTATTTTAGATGGTGGCACTTGATCCAACAGCAGATTATCTCAATAAAACATTTAGGCATCTAAATTTCATAATTAATTTTTTAATATTTGCTGTGTTGCCTCATGTTCTCGTTTGTCTCCAGAGTGAAAGATGGTGGAATCCAGAATACCGTAGAATAATAATTCCTGGAGGGATAATCATAAATAACATTTTCACCCACTTACATGATATATTGTATTCTTGTGTGCTAGTCCATAATCTGTTACACCTTTCACTTTGGAGGAATGGCAAAACAGTAAATATAAATCTTTTAAAACTTTATAAGCACTTCATAATGCCATTCACTAAAACTGGAAGTTAGAATTTCACTGCATCAAGATGATGTTTTCTTAAGTCTCTTAATGAAGACAACGTTTAGAACACTAGGTTTGGTGTCTTCTCAGCCTGGGTTAGCATGATTGTTCTGAAATAAAAAATAAAATCTCCTGGATTTTTGTTTTTATATGAAACTGCCTGCTAGTCACCAGCAGGTAAGCCTGAGCAGTTTATAGGTGTCAAGACTGCAATTCAGTTTGGCTCTTATGGCCAGATCACAGGAAGATTTGGAACCAGCTTCTCAAGGAAAAAAACAGCTTTTTGCCAGTTTTGGCTTTTTTTTTTCCCCCTTTGAATGTCTTTGAATATGTGTAATTATTAAAGGCATTAAAAGATGTCAGTTCACTTGATGCTAGCAATAACCTTCCTATACCACTTCAAGGTGGTAAAATGAGAATACTGGAATAGGAGTCTGGCAGATTTTCTGGTACTAGTTTCCCCACTAACTATATGGCCCTGAGAAAATCAAACTGTTTGGACTTGGGTTTTATCATCTGTGGATTGGGGAGTTGGACTAGTCCAGTAGTGATTTTGCCCTCAAGGGACATATGGCAATGTCTGGCAACATTTGTTATCACCACTGGGGGGACAGGAGGTGTGCTATTGGCATCTAGTGGTTTGAGGCAAGGGATACTGCAGAGATCCTGGAGTGCCCAGGATAGCCCCTCACAACAGAATTATCCCACCCAAAATGTCAGTAGCGCCAAAGTTAAGAAACCCTGGACTAACCAAACTCAGGTCCCTTACTGCTTTAAAATTATGAACTGATTTTGGGTTTCCATATTGATATTCATGGCTGTGTACTAGAACGGCAAATCATAAAAAATAACTAATCTATAATGACCTTTGAGTTAGAGTTGAGACTGTTCCCTAGGTTTTGAAGAACAAAAATACAATTCTTACCTAAAAAAAATTTACCTCGTCATACTTATTTCAGATCAATGCCCTTCATTAACTGTTCAGTTAACTGCTAACATAACAAATGGTAAATATTTTATATTACACTGTTTAAATACTATCAGGAGTCAATATATTTTTAGTTTAGATATTTATAAAAGCCTTAAATAATTGCCAGTTATAATAAGTGGGTAAACAAGAAAAGGGGAAAAAAATGTTGCTTGATATTTTGTCAGTATCTTTCTTTAAAAAGACCTGTTAGGAGATTCCTCCAGAAGGTATCAAAAACTGTCATGCTTCCAGTTATTAAAATTCCACTCTCACTTTCCAGATCCTGATAGGACCGTTAAAACTGACTTGAAGAGCATCTGCTGTTCCATTTTCATCTATAGCTGTAGCACCCTTATGAGGCTCTCCTCTGTATTGGTCTTGGCAGTGAGCAAATTTCAGTAAGGATTAGAGATTGGCAAGCAGGGAAGAAATAAGAGCTGAGAAGTTACAGATAGGAAATTGAGAAACTCAATCACAGAAAAAGAAATACCAAGTGACCAGTTTACGTGAAAAGAAATATACATACTTAAAATTTATGATGAAGGTGTTACAAGATTTTCCAGGACACTTTGTAATTCATTCAGTGAAGTTTCTCAAGTATTTTTGACAGTTAAAAAATGAATGTTCACCAAATAATGATATTCCTGAGTAATCATAGTTAAAACACAACAGCAGCAAATAAAAACTCTTGTTTATCTACCTAGGAATTCCTTTTAAGGAAAAAAATTTTTTTAATGGACTCAATTTTAGAGTGAAGGACATTTCTGACTCTTTATTGAGTTGTTAGTTCATTTATTTAGCAATTGCCTAAAAGTACTTGCCTGTTTTCATGATAGTAAATAGATTCAAGTCAAATGGCAGTAAGAAAATCTGGCTCATAGCCATTCTTATACATTTATTCAGAAAGCATTGGGCTCCGACTGTGTACCAGGTACTTGTTCGGTACTGAGGGTATACGGATGAATTAGGTACAACCCTTTTAAAGGGCCCAGTAGTAGTGCTTGGTAGTTAAATTCAGGGGAAAAAAAAAAGACTAAGTGGGGATTAATTTTAAATATGGATTAGTCAGACTTTTTCACTATCAGGAGTAGTTCATTGTTTCATATAAATCTATGCTCTGCCCAAGACATCTGATTTACCACAAGCACACCAAAGCTCATTATATTGTAAATCTAATGTTGGCAGCTGGGAATAATGGTTGGTCTGGTGAAACATTAATGATCATGTTAGGTTCATATCCATGTCCTTTATTACATGAAAATGCTGACTAAACATGTTGCAGTGACTAACTTAAAGCTTGCCCTTTCTGTATTCATTACATACATGTTAGGACATGAGTGTTGTTGATTTTTCCCCCCTTAATCTCACGACCCATTCACATTTACTAACCCACTTGAAGGAATGACATGCATTATTTGATGGCTTTCTGATACTGTATGTCTGCTGTGGGTCCAAGTATAACTAATGGATTTACACAGGAATTTAATTCAGTATCTAATGTCACAAGCATAATCCCTGAGCTAGCTAGCTATAGAGTAGTTATGATTATTGACATTCAAAGACTTAGTTTAAAGAAAGACAAATTTAATAATAAATATGTAATACTCTCAATGGTTTTGTTTGTTCATTTTGTATTTTGTGAGTGGAAATATGCCATAATAAGTACTTAGTTATTTTTGTGATTGTTGTATTAGTAGAATTGCTATAACTTAGCACACTCATAGGTCGGATAATAATCTCCTTTCCTAAAAAGGAGAGATTAATGACTAGCATTATAGCTAAGAGTATTTATGATGCTGACAGGTGTGGGACTGCATTTTTTTTAGCACAGTTAAGATCTCTTAAAACTCCTTAAATGGGGTTTGACCTTCAGGGGCAAAAAGGAATAAAGCAGCATGCTTTGGCAAAGATAACCGAATCAGTTACCTAGTCTCCTGTAGTTTAGTGCTATGCTCTGCTTTATCTTTTCCAAGATTATAATGGTATCAAAAGGTTGCAAAACTCCCTAGGGACCAGGAACAAGGCAGTGATGTTCATTCTTACCACTTGTATTCTACATTTTACTGGAGGTCTTACCAATACAATAAGACAAGAAAAAGAAAAGGTTTACAGATGGGAAAAGAAGAAATAAAACTGTACTTGCAGATGATATGATCATCTATGTCAAAAATCCCAAGGAATCTAGAAAAAAGGCTACTATAATAATAAGTTTATTTGGCAAAGTCACAAAGTACAAAGTCAATATACAATCACAGAAAATACTTAGGTGTGACTTTAACAAAATACGTTAGAAACTTTGTAACATTGCTGAGAGAAAGAAGGTACAAATAATGGAAAGATAAAATTAAGTCCCCTAACATTCTTAGTGAATTAGGTTAAAAGTATTTGGACTATCTCATTAACTTAGTACATTTATTAGAGGGGAAGAAAACAGCTATTTACACCTA